ATTATGTCATTTTAAACGACCCATTGGTATTAACTCGGTAACATCAATGTATTTTTAAAAATTAGACAGCGACGTTCTCTCAGAAGTTGTTCTGCAGACGTTTATCTGTTGATGACCTTTTGACCTCCAGAATTCTGCAATGAGATTTTCGGGTCGATTCAGCCGAGACGGCCCGAGTGGAGTTTCATGTAAATGTTTCGTACGGGAAAAAAAATCGCTCCCAGGGCACCAAACTGTGGGGGCGCCAAATTAGATTGGAAAAAATTACATCGGGCTTCCAAATTTGTGCGCCATTTCCATTTTCGCACACGGGCCGGCGCGAAAACTTGATTTTTCTACATTTTGTTACTTTAAATCCAGTATACCAAGTAATGGTAATGGTTTTGTATTTATAATAATAGCGTCTTTCCACGATCGAACCGTCTCAAGGCGACGAATACAATAAGCTCACAGGTATTATATAAAATAAGAATAGTTTACAAATTTAGCGAACCAAACATTGCAAACATATTATAATGAATAAGCCTACAAAAATGAACAGTATAACTGAGACTGTATTATAGACTTTTTAGAATAAGAAAAAAATTGCGTGATATGGTCAGTAAGTTTTTAATAGGCCCTACAGTATGTTGTAATAGGACAGAATATCAAAAAGATAAGAAAAGAAGGTAAATTTTAAAAAGCACACACAACTGAATGAAAATTTAAGGCACTTAATTCAATTCGACAATATGAACAAAATCAGCAAATTTATTTTGAAAAGAGTAGGCCTATAGAGAGCTGTGCTATATAAATCCCTCATCATGTCCTGCACACTATTAGTGTAAGCATTGTACTGCCACAGTATATAGGATCTGTGGTACTGCTAAATAGTGGAAAAAAAATCATCATTTTATCATGTACTCTTCCACTGGGGATCAGCAAAAAGAGTATGTTTTTTACTCTTGTGAAAACTATGAAAATAATGGACCTTAGATGTTTTCATACTTTACTGTTCCTTAAAAGGGCTCTTGCCATGCAAATAAGTTGACGTTCTCCTAAAGAAAAATTTTCGCCACCTTCAGTGACCTCTGCCATTAGCTGTGACTCCAGGGCACTAATCTGCAAAATAAATTGTTCATTATAATTTTAACCAATGTCACCAATCAAAGGCACGAATTCAGTGCCGGCAGAGCATGGGGCCGCGGTTAGGAGTGTAAGCAAACGGTATTTTCCTTAATGCAAGAATGTACAGTTAAAATATCATTGGTTCATAATATTATTTAATTATTTTCTTATATTTAATATATTATAGGCCTAAGTCAATTTTGAAATTTGTAAAGAGTGAACTACTGATAGGATATTGCATTCAAGTTGTCTGCGTTTCCTGTGGGGAGTTCGGCACTTTTGGCATGATACAATTTGTTGTTTATATTTTGAATTTATATTATTATGGATTTTACATAACAAATTTTAAAGATTTAAACATTTTAAAAATTTTTAATATGAACGTCAGTTTACGGTATTTTTCATGTATGTTTTTTCGAGAGCATTCCAGATTTCATCATCTTTGAACTGATTGAAAGGATCGAGATTGTACCTGATACAGAAAAAATAAAAATAACAATTATGTAAATAATCAATGTAAATG